GTTAACAAAAACTTCGTGATGGATATGAAAACGCTTAGAACAACTTTCCTTGGCAACGAGACTCACGACGGATTTCAGACTTCTGAAAGAATGCATGGTCAATCAGCATTCGAATCTGGGCTTTGCACAGGTTGAACAAGAACCTGAATTCTGAATTGTTTGATTGCGCCGTGCTATCGGAGCAGCTGCTTGTTCCTTTCGCTCAGGGCCCTACGCTATGCTTTGTTGCCTAGCTCATCATGCATGTTATTCGAACAGATGGAAACTTGTTGCAATACAATGATGTAGCCGATCAGTTCGTTGTGGTATGGTTGGGCATTGTAGCCGTCATGGTCGATGTCAAACACCTTAAGACCGCAACGAAGTTGGGGCCAAAGAGAAAGTTCCACCAGTTCTAATAACATGCATGATGAGCAAGGCAAAAAAGCGTGGCGTAGGGCCCTGAGCTTCCAAGCTCTCTCGTTAATTGTTTATAGTGAACAAGTCTTTTAGCAACTTTAATTAATAATCAAGAGTACTAGCTGTGCGGAAACCATGCTTTATTACAATAGTAGCAGACATGCGAGAGCAATGTCGATGTGAAATGTGAAATGAACATATACAAAGAAGAAGAAATGTTCAGAACGGTTTTGTTCGTTACAATCTTCAGTGAATATACATAACCATTGATTCAATAAAATCTTGTAGGACGCATCACCCAGCTTTATAAGCAAAATAATTGGTTGTGAGCAACACTGGCTTACACTCAAATCACTGCTTGTCACAGAAAAAAAAAATTATTTCAACGTTTCGGTCATGAAATAACCATCATCAGGAATGATGATGGTTATTTCATGACCGAAACGTTGAAATAAAATATTTTTCTGTTGAAAAGTAGTGATTTGAGTGTTAGCCAGTGTTGCTCACAACCAAGTTTTCATTTATGGAATATTAAATTAAACACTAATGTATGGAACAGAAAGAGGTGTGATAATTTTTACCAAAGGAGAAATTGCAAACCCTGGCCGTTTTTTGTCAAACTCGAAGTTGCGGCATCCATTCTTGTTTACCTCGGATGGCGAGCCAGTTTGATAATGGTGAAAAAGGAGAAAGACAAAATGTTACGTGTTATGACTAACTGTCCACCAACGTAACCAGATCATAGACAGTCAGGGAGTGCGATAATATGGCACAAAACTAACAAGGAATACTGAGACATTAGGCGACATGACACCTAGCTTGAACACTTCTCCAAGGCGCAAACCAACAACCTTCCAACTTGGAAGGCTCAGGTTCGAAAAGGTCCAAGAAGGGAGGGACAGCGTAATGAAGAAAAGAACGGGCTACGCCTCATGGCAACAAAGTTGCTGGTTGATGACGAAGCTAGGAAGACTATGCCTCAGTGTTCCTTGTCAGTTTAGGGCCATTTTGTCGCACTCACTGACTGTATAATGATTTCGTTACGTTGGTATACAGTTAGCCACAACTCGTAACATTTTGTCCTTCTCCTTTTTACCGTTCTTGTTTCTTCGTGATTAAAAAAAATAGAAACTTGTTCCCTCTACCCACCCCCTTTATCGTATTGATCCGGAAAAAAATTATTAATTTGAAAGATTTTAACTCGGATGGTGAGCCAATTAAATTATTGTGAAAAGAAGAAAAACAAATTGTTACGAGGTATGACTAACTGTCCGCCAACGTAACCAGATCTTATACAGTCAGCGAGTACGACAAATTTGCGCAAAACTGACAAGGAGTACTGAGACATTCGGCGACCTGACACCTAGCTCCAACACTTCTCCAAGGCGCAAACCAACAACCTTCCAACTTGGAAGGCTCACGTTCGGTAAGGTCCAAGAGGGGAAGGAAATCGCAATGCAGAAGAGCACGAGCTACGCATCACGGCAACAAAGAGTGCCGGAAGTTACTGGATGATGACGAAACTAGTAAGAATATTGGACATACCGGCCTTACTACAACTCTACGCCCATTCTTTGTTGCCGTGATGCCGTGATGCGTAGCTCGTGCTCTTCTTCAGTGTGTGTGTAGAACTGTCTGTGCATGGAAAAAAGGTCGTTAAGAGTAGATGGTTGCTAAAAGGAGAGGTCATTTAAACCAGGTTTTACTGCACTACCAGACTTCCAAACTCATGATTCCTGTGAAACTCTGTAGGCAGGTAGAAAGCAGCCCTCATTGGCGCGGAGCTCCACCATATCAATTAGACCTAAAATAGCTTTACTTTACTGGTGGTTCCCATCTAATCTTTCTGCACATCTTTCTTCTGTTCATGCAGGAACTTGGAAGCGAATCAACTTGGAAGCCTTCCTCCTAATATATTTGGCGATCTGATAAATCTTAAACATCTGTGAGTTTCGCAATCTGTACCTTCGTATGCAAAGATGCAAATCCACACAATTAAGTTGACACTTCTTTCTATGAAAAATTTTCTTTCCATTCTCTTCAGGATAGTACAGGAACTGTTGGAAAGTCTAAGTTACGTCTTGCTGTGTTAAAAGCACTGTAGGTTCGAAAACTAGATCCGAGCTATGTGTACAGAAGGAGAATGTGTTATATACTGCCGAGGTTACGCTTGCATCTCCCATATCCGGTCTTAGATGTTGAATCTGTGTGAAATCTTTGGTCGCTTCCCAATTTGTACAGCGCTGCACTTGCGTTCTCGTCAGTTTCTGGCATTCACATTAGACTCTGTCAATCCATATCATGTGCACCCCCGTTGGTCTTTATCTTCGGATCCTGCCACGCCTGGTTGAATGTGTACTGAGCTTAGCACCTGTTCATGACCTTTTCTGTGCAGGAGATTGTCGCAAAATCACTTTACCCATCTATCTGCGGATGTATTCGCCAACCTTAGATCCCTAGAACGTTTGTGAGTACAATCATCTTGTGAGCTTCGGATTTCACTTTTGTGACTAGCAAACAATGAGGGTGTGACCTGATCTTGCTACATATGTTTTTTCAAAGACTGCAATACTGAAATGACCCCAGGCAAAACACTTTTACCCCCTGCTGTAGATAATGGTACAGTAGTGCACAGTGACATCTGTCCCAAAGTGCATGCTTGGCGCCCTCAACCTGCACGGCTCTTGACATTCCAGAAGTGATAGGAATGCTGCAGGGCGTACACAGGCACAAACACAATGGCGTAATCAAATCTAGTCCAGGGCGTCAGTTTTGCACTTTGGGCCAGATTGACCATTGAAAGAAAAACGTTTATGAATCGCATTTTGAGCTCTAACAGAGCGAAACAGTTGCTGTCCACAGATTTGAATTACATTTTACACATGTTTAATATTAGGGCTGAAATGATTACGCCGACTACTCGGAAATGAATGTATTTTGGCCAAACGATCGATTAATCGTTTGGGAAACAATTATCGATTATTTTTGACAAGTTTTTACCATATCTTTTCTTAGGTTTTTGAAGCTCGCCCGGCGAGCTTCGCTACCTGCACTCCCGCTATGACGTCACATGCAGGTGTTGTGTACAAACCAGTGCACTGCATTTTTTGTGGTGTTTGGGACAGAGACCGTGACCTTGAAGAGCATTCAATCAGAGGGCCAGACGCGTCGGGCAAAATACAGTACCGTGCTGTACTACTGTACGCTAGAGCTAGTCCTAGCCGACTCTCTGTAGTATACGCTAGAGATAGTCCTAGCGGACTCTCTGTAGTGTGCGCTAGAGATAGTCCTAGCCGACTCTCTGTAGTGTGCGCTAGAGATAGTCCTAGCCGACTCTCTGTAGTGTATGCTAGAGATAGTCCTAGCCGACTCTCTGTAGTGTGCGCTAGAGATAGTCCTAGCCGACTCTCTGTAGTGTACGCTAGAGATAGTCCTAGCGGACTCTCTGTAGTGTGCGCTAGAGATAGTCCTAGCCGACTCTCTGTAGTGTGCGCTAGAGATAGTCCTAGCCGACTCTCTGTAGTGTATGCTAGAGATAGTCCTAGCCGACTCTCTGTAGTGTGCGCTAGAGATAGTCCTAGCCGACTCTCTGTAGTGTACGCTAGAGATAGTCCTAGCCGACTCTCTGTAGTGTGCGCTACAGATAGTCCTAGCCGACTCTCTGTAGTGTACGCTAGAGATAGTCCTAGCCGACTCTCTGTAGTGTGCGCTAGAGATAGTCCTAGCCGACTCTCTGTAGTGTACGCTAGAAACTGCACACACATCCATCACCGTGTTGTTCCTCACACAAAAAGTCCACAACAACGATGTACTTGCGTGCTGACAAAATCGAACTTAGATCCTCACGGAAAAAGTCAAAAAGTCTTTGCATTGGCCAGTGTGTTCTCACTGTGCTATGAGATGCTGTAATAAATAAATAAATAAATAAGGTAAAAGTTCAGCTGCTTTTTATTTTGATTTGGCTGTGTAGCTGCACGTCTCTGCCTCTTTGGCATTCTCCTTTGGTACGATGTACCCATCTCTGTGTTAGAGTTCAGAATTAAGGCACACATGCACCGTACAGCGGAACAGCTAGCACGATCGACCAGCACACTAATGTACGTGTGAAGGTCAAGTCCAGTGTGACGTCACTCGGTCCTTCGGGACAATTTTGGCAACCTTCTTTTCAAGTGTTCACCCACTTCCGATCATCACAGGGAAAAATAAAGTACACCATCGTAATCAGGAGCCGAAGAACTACAAGATATGACAAAGAAATGTTTTGGTGACAGTTCCTCTTTAATAGAAAATTCTCAAACCAAACTCAGCGCGGCAATGGGCGTACATTGTTCTTGTGGATTTTTTAGTTGTTTCATCTCGTACCTATGTCAATATCGCGATGGTGGATTGGAGAGGATGATTCCCTTCCTCTAGGATTGGTTAGGCCAATTTTACATCATCATCCTTGAAAAGTGATGCTGAAAAAGGGTAGATTCGCAAAATTATGTTGATTTTCAAAGTACAAAATGAATATGGTTGGGGTTTGCGTGTTGTGCAATGCATGTTGACCACCTTGTATAACCAACATCCAGATTCTTTTTTTCGGGCTTTTTCAGGTTGTTAAGCGATAATAAGTTGACGAGATTACCGGCTAACGTCCTTGACAGCCTTACAAACCTAACGGAATTGTAAGTTCCTTTTCTACGTTATAATCTGGGTTTGTCCAGTGCTATGCAATACAATAAGCACAATTCGTGGATGCTTGTTAGAGGTATTACCGGTCCAGCATGTCAGTCGGGAAGAAATGGACTCTGTACCCTGCTAAGAGTGATACCAAACACCAGGGACATTGTAAGACGCGCAGAGGTCTCCAGGTGACCAGTTAGTTAGACACACTTAGAATTATTAATGATCTTTTCATTCCGCAATATGTCTCTTTTAGATATGGAGCAGCTTGTCTAAGGCAGATTGTTAGGGAATACACTGCCGCGACCTTGTCGGCAGATGCTCGACCCTCATCTGGTTCTTCATACGAGCTTTATGCATTCTTGAAGAGTGAGCTGCAGACTTCGGAATTGAACAGAGTGTTTGCTGAAGGTGGCCACATATTATGGGTCAGGGGTCGCAAAGTAAATTGTCTTTACTTGACTGTGTGCGTTGCGTCGGTGCTGACGCTCCTTTCGAAATCATTTGAATACTCAAATATTTGATGAGAGAGATGCAGAGTGCTCAAGCCAGGGACTTTGATCAAAATTTTCACAAATGTGCTGGAATACGAAGTAAATATGCTTTGCTGGCTGCTTTATGGCCTTCTGAGACCAAGTTTTGCATTTTGTTTTGTGCAGGCTATTAGAGGGCAATCAATTAACAGTCCTTCCTAATAATGGTTTGAAACAGCTTGTTAATCTTCAGATACTGTGAGCTTTATCCTTCTGTGACTTTTCATAAGCTGTTATATATGCTGCAACGACTACTAAGCACATGAGCCAGGCGTGTTACAATAAGATGCTCTCACAGACTTTATACTGTAATCTCTCTCTACCTATCTCTCTCTCATTCTCTCCCTTAATCTATCTCTATATCTCTTTCTCCCTCTCTCTCTAACATACAAATTCAAACCAACACACCTTACCAACAAAATATGTGTCCCAAGTCTTAGCCTCCTCATAGCCCTTTGGCAATTACACACACACACACACTTAATGTTGAATATTTTCCCTATGCCAAATTGTGAATGTGCTGCGCAGCCCCTCGAGCTCAAAAACAGGTCACCGTTTCAGAAACCAATATAGTGGCGCAGGAAACATTTCGTCCCAAAGGGCCTGCAAAGTAGGTACCAAAATTCAGTCTCTTCGGGACCTACTTTGCAGTGGGTCCCTAATTGCTACTTGCACTACCTCCATGTCATCGAAATTGCCGCAGTTTGACTATTGACACTTTGAAGTACAAAATGGGGTAATTTCTCACCAGTAACTTAGTCATGCCACAGGTAAAGCTCTATTTTCTGTTCACTGAAGCTCCAAACGGTGGGGTATGCGTTTCCTTCAGACTGACTACAACTTGACTGACCCACGACCCATGTCTGCATTATATGAGAAGAATTCCAGGGCCATCCACTTCGCAAACCTGCAAGAAAGTACCACTCCCTACTCAAACATATTGTTTCAGGGAATTCACCCTCATCAGTTAATCTCAGTCTCTTCCTCTCGCGGAGACCTTTCCCTGGAAGCCCAAGATTGTGAAGATTGAGTGAGTAGAACTGAAGTTACGTCCCAAAGAACATGAAAATAATGCAGAATTTTGAAATTTTCAATCGGCTCTCAAAGGGTTAAGCTTAAGTATGCCACAGAAACTTGTGTTCTCAGAGCATTGATTAATGTTGGGCTCCTGAGGCCAAAACATCACTAGGGATACTAATTGACGGTGACATTCCATCTCCCGTTTCCAGCACAACAAATAAATCGGGAACACCAGATATTTCTTTTTTTTGTACTTTAAAACTATGCATCAGGGTGAGTCAGTGAGTCAGTGTCACACATGGAGTTTTGTCTCGAGACAATGCATATGTAGACGCCAGACAGCAGCCATGAGTAAAAACAAACTGCCAGTCACTCTGTGCGAAGCGCTGGCTCCAACGTTTGGAGCAGCCACCTTCTTCAACACACTGCAATTCTACGAAGAAGTGGAAGTGACTTCTTTGGCGACAACTTTCTAGGATGATTGGTGATTTCCCCAAAACATTGTGTTCAGCAGGGAGTAGTGCCTTCTTGAGGGCTTGCTGAGTCGAAGGTTAAACGGACTTCTCTTGTGTGCTCTGAACGGCAGTTGTGAGTTTGTCAAAAGTCAAGTAATGCCTATGAAAAATGTGCCCTTCCTTGGGGGGGGGGGGGGCAAAGACCTTCACTGTACATAATTATATAGTGACTGTTTTGTGGCGAATACGAGACATGCTTAGCAAGCTCGGGAGAAATGAGTGTGAAAACGTTCACTGTTACCCTACAGTCCATTCCATATAAGTGTGCACTCTTTTCCAGTCAAAGGGCCAGTGTGTACTCTTTTCCAGTCAAAGGGCCATTGTGTATGCCCCATGGACTCTACATGTCATGTAGAATCCATGGGGCATACACAATGGCCCTTTGACTGGATGGAAAAGAGTGCACACTGGCCCTTTGACTGGAAAAGAGTGCACACTTATATGGAATGGAATGTAAGTTCCGTAAACTCCAGTCATGACGGGAACAGGAAAGCGGTTCTGCAAACACATGCAAACACCAGCTGCAGCTGTATACACGTTTACTTGCATGGTTATGACGGCGGCACTATTACTGCTTTACATAGTGTTTTGAAATGTAAAACTTTAACAACAATGATTGTAAACTGTCAAAGTACGACATTTGAATGTGACATTTGGACGCGAAAAACACATATGTGTGAGACCCGAGAAAGAGAAAGACAGATTGTGTGTGTGTGTGTGTGTGTGTGTGTGTGTGTGTGTGTGTTTGTGTGTGTGTGAGAGAGACAGAGAGTGTGTGTGTGTGCGAGTGTGTGTGTGTGTGTGTGTGTGTGTGTGTGTGTGTGTGTGTGTGTGTGTGTGTGTGTGTGTGCGTGTGTGTGTGTGTGAGTGTGTATGTGAGTGTGTGTGTGTGTGAGAGAGAGAGAGAGAGAAAGTTATTGCATTGTGAGTTTACACAGCTTTAGAGTCCCTTATCCTCTTTCTAGAGAAAAAAGTAGCACCAAACGCCTCTTTATGGCGGCTATTCAGAAACGTTTTAGTTAAATCAATGATTTTGTTAGATTGACAGCACAGTTGCTCTCGTTCCAATGACAATCTGCTATACGCAAGTTTACTTACCCGTTCCTTAAGTAACAGTTGAAACCATCTTCATATCTACTCTGATTGTTTGCACAGTGATATCCGTTATAACAACATATCTGATTATCGGCTATGTGCCCTCCTCCCAAGAAGGGATATTGTAGAATTCAACTATTTGAAAAGACATCCGCTCCATCGTAAGTTTCACATCACCATTCTCTCCTTTTACCACTGTGAAAACGATTTGCTTCATTAGTGAAATGTACCAGTACTTCCGTTGAGTGTGCACTCAATCCCCCGACAAGAACCGGTACAGTCGACCTACCCGTATAAGGATATTTGGATTAGACCAAGAAATATCGTTGAAAGGTTAATATTGTTACAAGGGTACTGGCTCATTTCATATATGTACGTCATAATTAATGGTTTTTGTTCATTTTTTGCGTACGTTTATGCATGTTCCATGCACAATATGGACACAGCAAGGCATCACTGGTGCTCCCATTTTATTTCGTCACATCCCAGCCACGTATCAAGTGAAGCTTGCCCTGCTTGGATATCGGACTCCACATATTCCCTGCTAGATATCGTTATAAAATGGAAAAATGACGAGTGGTCAATCCATTTTATATCATTTATAGGGGTAATATGATTATAGCAATATAGCCGTCAGATGTGAAAAGGGTGCTTATGGCATATTTTGGTCAAATTGAGATAAGGACTGAGGCAAAATCTATAGGCTTTTATGCTTCACCTCCAAAAAACCAGACTCAAAAATCCAAGCCCATCATGAAGAATAAGTGTGTGGGTACATTGAGGGCTGCGTCCCACCCGCCTGTGTGGATTCACAGGAAATGTGAGTTACGAAGTCTGAAGAAAATGTTGAAGAGTCTCTGCTGGGATGACGACTGCACCATACCTCAGTGGTTAGAGCATCGCTAGCTACAAGCGAGGGTCCCTGGTTCGAGTCCTGGTGGTGACAGTCAATTTTTTCTTCAGACTTTTCCCGTTTGAATTTTTTATGACTTGGGGCTCCCCGCGTGCTAGAGTGTACGTGAAGTGTGTGGGTACAGTGAGGGCTGCGTCCCACCCGCCTGTGTGGATTCACAGGAAGTGTGACTTACGAAGTCTGAAGAAAATGTTGAACAGTCTCTGCTGGGATGACGACTACACCATAGCTCAGTGGTTAGAGCATCGATAGCTACAAGCGAGGGTCCCTGGTTCGAGTCCTGAAGGTGACAGTCAATTTTTTCTTCAGACTTTTCCCGTTTGTCTCTTTCCCTCAAACTAGTGAACATCATGAAGATATCGTCAATTTAGTATCCCGAATTTTGGCCACTTTTACGGTCTAAGTTGCAGAAGAGTTGCTCTCCTGATTCGCTTGCACAGGAGCTGCTGTTGCTGTTGCCGCACCAGCACACGCTTGCTCCTGGGAAGATGGGCCGCCAAAAAAGAGCTCCGTAACTTCAGCAACGTTGATTTCGACTGGTCCTGCATTGCCCTCTTCTTCATCAGAAATTGCATTGCTGTTTTCGGGTGCTGCACTTTCGCTCGGGTCAAATACCTCGTCTGGCTCGCACTCTGAGTGGGAGTCGCCAACAAATTCTACATCCATGTCCTGAAGAACTTTGGCTAAAGCCTCATACACAGTAAAGTAAGACTGCCAGCTTATCTTGAAATTATAATAGAATAGAGAAGTCAAGCAGGCCAGGAGACAACATAATTTCGTTCAAAATCAGAGCGCGGAGCTCGTGAGAACTGCGCCACCAAAAAAAGAAAGTTTTTTTATGTAACTCCGCCGTGATTTGCCGTATCAGGCCGGTTGAAGTATCTACGGAACGCGGGGAGTCTCAGCAGTGCGCTAGTGTACATAACCGCGCTGTGTGATGCACACTCACGCCGCAATGATCGAAAAATGACGTCACGTCAAGATTCACTTATGCACGAGACAGGTACATGACAGCCTGTCACTCTGACGCACTTTACTCGATTTGCTGTGTGATGCCATAAGCACCCTTTTCGCATCTGACGGCTCTTTTAACAAAATAAATAATAATTATTATTATTGTTAAAGAGGTAAGGCATTGTATACAAAAGTCAATGGAGTGATTTGGTTTGACAGAAAAATATCATAAAAAGGGTAATATCGTTAAAGAGGTTATCGTTATAGAGGTTATCGTTATAAAGGTATGTCGACTACCTGTTTCAAAATTGTAAGGTCTCACAAACGGAGGTATTGGCAATGGGCCTAACCGATCGCAATTGAGCTTAGTCACCAACAAAGCATATTTCAGGCAGTGTTTACACGACAACGCCCGGCCAGTTTTCCGCTTTGTGGGGCCACATGATCAGGACATGATTCGAGCTGGTCTCCGTTTGCATCGGTTTCGCCGGTCAGCACGGGATTAAAGGATCCGCAAAAGTTTATTATGTGTCCAATATTGTCTTTGAAGGACCAATCACAGTCAGGTTATAGTTGAAGAAAAAACTCCATACCACAATACTACTCACATAATAAACATTGTCGGGCCATTCGCAAACCGTGTGGACGCACAAACCGATACAAGCGTGACGGTTCGAGGCCCAGCACACCGTTTCGACTGTTGATACATTCACTATATATAACTTGAGTACAATGTGCACCCTCTTTTGTTAGCACTGTTTGCGCAATTCAAGGTACATCCTCAGTATAATGCACAGCCAAGTTAAGAGACCATCATCGATCATAAAGACAGTACAGTCGACCTACCCTTATAACGAGAACCTCTATAACGATATTACCCTTATAATGATTATTTTCTACCAAACCAAATGACTCCATTTACTTGTATATGCAATGCCTCACCTGTATAATAATATTGCTATAACGATTCATTCTTTGTTGCTTGTCTTGGTTTATGCAGATCTCAACGAATCCTTCTGTTCCATGAGCTGTTCTAAGACACCAAATCCGGTCTGTGAAGGGCTAACATTTTGTACCGGTGCTCTCTCTAACTACACATGTAATCGTAAGTACCGGTCATTCGGACAGCGCCTCCTATTACTGTAAAATATGTAATTTTCGGTGTAACTTTCATTTCGGTGATTCCGGTAGAGAAACCAGGCACCTAAAATTACACCTACAAGGCTCTTGAGTATATTTATCTGGCCGAGTGATGATGATAATATCATTGTTCTTTTTCATCTCTGAAAGACCTCATGTGTTTTCGGGATAGTGAAAATGTTCTCCGTTGAGCGGGTTTGTCCGCACATTCCTCGGCTGCAGCACGCAATGGGGCCGTACACACCATTTTCTTTGATTCCGATACCGGTGCAAAACCACCCAATTCCCGATAGAATAATTCCAAATCACATAGTATTCCATTCTCAGACCCACTGCATAAGTTCACACTACACGCGTTATGCATAACCGCGAGCTGCTTCATTCTCACGCTTCTTTTCATATTATTTTACCTATAATATTACAACTGGTTGTTTTAGTGGTTCTTACTATGTGACGATGTTCCACTGATGATAGTCACGAAAAAACGTTCTGGAATTGTTTCATTGTTTTATACATGGTTATGAGTGCACAATTGATATTTTTCATTGCCATTTTACGACTGGTGTCTCCTCGTCTTTACTTTTACCGTAAAGTACCGCCAGAGCGCCCCACCATTTCGTCCTTTCGTGGCCGCCTTGTTGAGGTGGATCCCTGTCTGTAGGTTATACGACACAGATCTTGTGCAAACATTGCACATTGTGCAGCCAATCCGTACCCAGTTTACCTTCGAGCTCCACCTAAAAGCATACCAAGTGTGTACATGAAGGTTCTAACATCGCTCAAACTTAGTAGCATTCTGCCATACGATTTTCTTCCCTTGGCTGTAAAATCAAGGTGGGGCGCTCTCGCAAGACGGGGCGCTCTCGCAAGACGGGGCACTCTGGCGGTACTTTACGGTACTTGTCCATGTAATAATTGTTTCAAGTAGTTTCCTTTGCACTATTACGTAGATGTGAGTACGCTGGAAAATATAATGCACTGTTCTACACCCCACGCGACCATGCCCAGTTCGCTGTGTGAAGTGGTTATGGTACAAGTTATCTCTCTGCACACTGGGATTATTACGGGGCGATCCATGCTTCGTAGGAAGATTAGAGGGAACTTTCATTTGAGAGCAATCGTATCGCCTAAGGGGCAGGGTTTTCTGTGTACAGTGGCCTCATCATTGCGCATCTGTTGCTGCTCGATTGGTGTGTCTGTTCAGTTGCATGTCCAGCCCTAACTATATCGCAGGCTATATTCAACACAACGTCTCGGCTTATCGGTGACTCAGTGAACGTCAACTGTATGTCCGGTCATCAACTTGTCGGTCCACAAGACGTGATTTGTATGAAGGGACTAATCTGGTCAAGGTTACCTTCTTGTCAGGGTGAGTGATAGCTTTCAGGGGTTTTCTACAAATCACATAGTGGTCATCATTTCTCTTGCGGTATTTCCTTTATCTCTTTTTAATGTGGACGATCAACCATCACATGTACCAGAGCTCAACAGAGACTAAAGCGTACAGGTTAGCAATGCATTGCTGCCCTGTACGCAAACTGTTATATTACTGCGGTTACGTACTACATGGTGGTCATCTAAGATGACTTTAGTATTGCGGCTGGCTCGTTCCCACCCAAAGCGCAAACCTGGCGCCCTGGACTAGTTCAGATTGCACCATTGCATTTAACATAATTATGTGCATCCTGCCACATTCGTTCCCTTTCCAGGCCGACGAGGGCATGCTCGTTGAGGCCGCCAAATATGCACTCTGGGTCGGATTTCACCAAGTGCAACTGTATGTTAATTCATTCTAATGGCCCGTCAGTGGGTACTACAAAGACCCAAAGCATGCATTCGCAGCAGCCTTTACACTACTCCGTGAAATCAGACCCTGGACGGCCATGCAACGCCGAACCGTGGCCACGACTGGCTGACACCGGGATGCGATCTGGTGCAGGGTGCAAATGTGAATCATGTGGTTGCATTTCATTCAGCTACACTGTTTGTTAGCCTCATGCCGTGGAGCGGGTGCCTTACCTGCAATCGCAGCACTGTTGGAAAAAACATCTTTCCCCTTTGGAAGCAGGAATCGAGCTTGTCAATCACTGCTTTCCACTCCCTGTCTCACTTGACTGACTCACAGCTGCCATCCTGAGCACACTGGAAGTCCATCGAACCTTCCACTCGCGTGACCTGCGAAAAAGCAAGTCGTGGTTCGGGAAATTCCCCCCCCCCCCCCCCCCGTAAGTGGGGAGCTTGAGTAGGCTGAGGAAAATTGGATCTGAAAAGCACCACATATAGTGCTTTCCAGATGAAACCATCAACCTTACAGAGATACTCCGTTTCCATAGCGACAAACACTTCCTGAACACCAGATAGCAGCGTGAGTCAGTGTCGCTCAGGGAGGTGCTGAATAAACGCCGAGGACCGTTGGCCAGTCACAAGGCTGTTGCCTCCAAAACGATCTAATTCGAATGCTCTCCCTGCGGACAACATAATGAAGACGAGGTTGGTGCGAATTCGACGATAATTGGAGGATTGTGGGTTGTGCCCTATTTGGGAGCTCTCGCTTTTCCTGGCGACTTGAATTCTCACTTGACTGATTCATGACTGCCATCCAGACCACACAAGAATTCCATAGAACCTTACACTCACCAAACCTGCACGAAAGCACCAGTGCGAGCTCGCGCGTACGAAGTAACACAAAATTCCCCAAGCATCGACGAAATCACACCAGCCTCTTCTTCCCATTTTGTTAGCTGTGACATGCTTTATACATGGGAGCCAAAAACACTCATTCGTTGAATAGTTTACCTCGCCCAATAAGTCAAAGAACCATGATTATACAAATAAGTCCATTGCAGATTGCCAAGCAAGTAACGCATCAGTAATGCATGTGAGCACGCTGGGATCAGCAATGCACTGGCCAACACCCCACATGACCAAACCCAGCTGGCTTTCTAGATTCTGGGGTGTTTAGGTACACCTTACGTCATTGCACAATGACCTTTTTGAACTTTTTTCTTTCCTTCCATATCTAAATACTAAGGGGGAATGGTGAATGTTCAAACATGGTGTGGTCTGTGCGTGTGATTGGTTTTTGCTAAATTGCCAACAGTCATCACATGTCCAGCTACTCCATCAATTGCTAATGGTCACTTCAGTACAGTGCCTTCTAGCTTTACAATTGGAGGTACAGCAAACATATCATGCTTTCCAGGATACCAGCGAACAGGGGCAGCAGCAATCACCTGTGGTACTAGTGGACAATGGCCAACAAGAGATTCTCTTCCATCATGCACATGTAAGATCAGTTACCCTCCCCCCACCCCCCCCCCCCCACACACATCATACCTTCAACTCTCTCTCGCTCTCTCTCTCGCTCTCTCTCTCTCCCTCTCTCTGTGTCTCTCTCTCTCTCTGTCTCTCTCTCTCAAAGTGTGTGTGTGTGTGTATGTGCGTGTTTGTGTGTGTTTGTGTGTGTGCATGTATATGTTGTGTGTGTGTGCATTTGTGTCTACTGTCTGGTTGTCATCTGTCACCTACCATACTCTCATGAACAGTGACACAGTGTGGAATGTGAACATGTTGCTCTTCAAGGAACATACCTACCTGTAGCAAAGTGCATTTTCGAAAAAGGGTTTAGATATACATAGGTACTCACTTTCAATGGCCTGTCGTCCAGGTCGTGAAAGTTGCATTGTCTTGATCTTTGGTGTTGCCTTCAGTGATATCCTGCACTTTGCCCAGCCCACCTTCCAATGGCTTTATTGTTAGCAGCTCTAAATCTCCTGCTGGTGTGACGGTCTTTGCCTGCAATAAAGGCTATGAACTGATGGGCAGCAGTGTCACTGTGTGCTCGACTAATGGTGATTTATCACACCCAACGCCAGCATGTGCAAGTAAGGCTTCTTTAGAGTGAGAAAACTCAAATAAATTAAAATATTCTACATGTAGTATGTTGATAATATAGAGGGGTAAGCAGCAGCATTCGGCCTTGTCCAGATTCTTATCAACCACCACACCACACCGCTGCGCTCTCCGGCCGACCTCAACACGTTGCCACAGCACACCATCAGCAAAACGACACTTCAGTTGGTACTCTGCTCCTTCAGACAGCAGCTGTTTCGATCATCAGGACCTCGTCAGTGAAATTTGATATTGTAGAATGGCTACAGATAGTGAACTTCACCCTTTTGTAGCAAAAAAGGGTCACATAATGGCGCATCTTAGGCGCAAAAAGGGGGAAACGCAAAGGCGCATATTAGACACGAAAGGCACGATGACGGCGCAATGACGTAATCTGGACCTAAACACCCCAGAATCTAGAAAGCCGGCTGGGTTTGGTCGTGCGGGGGTGTTGGCCAGTGCATTGCTGATTCCAGCGTGCTCACATGCGCGACACTAAGCGAAGGCGATACTGATAGACTATGCTGAGGATACTAGTAATATAAAGGGTGTTAGTGAGAGTACAGTCATGTAGTGATAGCCAGGTGTGACTTCGATAGATGGCGCAACATAGCACGGCAAGTAGCAACGCGAGAGGCCCCTGGGGCATTCACGCCATCCACTCCCTCACCACACGGCACAGACCTCACCATTGTCACGTCACAGCCATTCTTCTGTTGCCATGATAATGCCGTCGCTTAGGGCCGGGTTCCACTGCGGCTCCGCGGCTCCGCTGCTCCGCGGCACTTGGCTGCATGCAGCGGAGCAGCGCGGTTCCACTGTCACTCGCCATTCGCGGTACCGCGGTCGTGGTCCACACTTTTTGATGACGTTTCACCTGCCTGCGCGCGCGCGCGCGCGAAATCAAACAAATCCTCGTGTTCTGGCCTGCGCAACGAATTAAAATTTGAATTATAAAATTCTGGCGTACAAAACAATGCAAAGTACGGGAAACAGGTCGAGCCGCGACCGCGGCTCGCAGTTTTTGGTCAAGAATCGTAGCAAAAGCTCGCGGTGAGCCGCGGACTCGCCGCTCCAGCTCGAGCCGCGGTCACTATGGTAATGATGACGTTTCAAGCCGCGAAAGACGAGCAGCGGGGCAGCGGAGCCGCAGTGGAACCCGGCCCTTAGCAATGAAGTGACGAAGTGACAAACACATGCTCACAAAGTATCATTCGAGAGGCCCATGGGGCATTCGCTCTAGACCCTGCGCCATGGTTTGACATCCGCCTGTAGTTGAAATCACTGCATCACAGCTATTCCGAATCTTCCTGAAATGTCGCTGCCGAGTTTCAGTCGTTTTTCATCAGTCTCCTCGTCTCCACCATTGGCTGCGAATTGACTGGCGCCAATACGTATGATCAAGAGGGGTAAGTAAGATGCGCCATTATGTTTCCCCCGTTTTGCTACAAAAAGGTAAAGTTCACCATCTGTTAGCCATTCTACATTATCAACCTTCACTGACGAGATCCTGCTGCTGTCTAAAGGATCAAAGTACCTGAAGTGTTGTTTTGCTGATGGTGTGCTCTGGCAACATGTTGAGGTCGGCCGGAGAGCGCAGCGGTGTGGTGTGGTGGTTGATAAGAATATGTGAATAACATGTCGCTTTATGAAGCTCAGTCAGTATTGAATATAGCGTTGGTGTTTGATTTTGAGCATTTTATCACTATAAGCGATATATTACTATGACCGATGCTGCATGCAATGTATGCGAGTGGGGTGTCAAATGACTCAGGGCGCCGCGCACGTACGCACTGTACAGCTGGCTACAGCTCCTGACGCATAACATCAGCAATTCCTCACGATGGAGGCATATTTGGTAACTTGTATAAGCAGAACTGACCAAACAACACTGGACAAAGTCCTTCACGAAAAAGTAACACTCTGTTCTCCTCTGACACCACTTGATTTTACATCAATCACTAGAACGGATGCAAACATAATGTAATGAAGGTCTTTTGAAATTTGAATTTGATCACTATAGGCGATATATTACAATAGACGATTATAACTATTCGAGATAACTGTGTATACTTAGTTATGGCAAATGAATTGAATTCGAGAAATTGATCGCTATAGCCGGTATATTACTATAGCCGCCAACCTTATAGACGACACGGACTGTACTAGTAGTGATCGATACTTTGACAATGATCAGACGAGAAGTCTGTAACGTGCCTTCAACTTGTCAAGACTTCAATGCAGTACCACTTTCCCTTTGATCAATGCACGAGATTCATGCAATTCACCACTCATCAGTTGGGCATGACTACGCTGAGGAGGACACTGTCCGGTGAGCACCTCTTTTAACACTTTTTAGGGGTGTGCCATTCAGCCACTGGACAAAATGCTGAGAATAAGGCAAATGGACAGCTCCGCAACTTTACGGTCCTGGCAACTGGGCTTTTGAACATTCTAGAAATGGAGGCCAGGATGACTACCATCACATTGACTAACTGACAAATAGTGTACCCAGAAGAAGAAGCAAAGCATCATGCGACTCACTAATTAACGCTGCCAGTGTGTACTGGAAGTGCTTACCGCCTTATGTACGCTCCATCACACTTCCTTCTGCGATTACAAATGATATCTTCAACTCGTTTACTCTCTCCTAAGATCTCAAAGACTCATAACTGTCAATATTCCCTCGAGCCTGCAACCTTTCCATCCGTTGCATCATTTCCATGAAACACATCATCAAATTCAAATTCGTTACTTGTAATACTCCCACATTGATTTATTATTATTATCTTTATTCTCAAGATGGCCGTAGCCGATAAGAGAGAGAGAGAGAGAGAGAGAGAGAGAGAGAGAGAGAGAGAGTACTATGTGTTATTAACCAAAGTGGGTGCAATAATAATTATAAAGTGATGGCACATGGTCTCGGTTGCCAATGGTCACTTTACAGTAACGAAAAGGACCAAAGAACTACAAAGTACGCTATAGCTGTTGGCCAGTGCCGTGCAATGTTATAACATGAGCCGATTGTCATGTAGCTGGTGATGTTAGGTCTGACCACCGGTTAGTTTGTCTCACCCTGAGGCTCCACCAGCTGAAACTACACCACCAGCCCAGGGCACCAATACGTAGACGTTTCAATGTGGGACTGCTGAAACCGACCCCTGCTATGACGACGGTGGAACGGACGCCCACCGAAGAGAATGTGCAGCGGTTTCAGAATGCAGTAGCTTCCAACATTGAGGGTTTTGACTCTACCGCCCCACTGGAGGAGCAATGGAACTCTGTACAGACTGGTCTAACCAACGCTGGAAGGGAGGTTCTTGAGTATGCTCGCCGAAATCAACCAGACTGGTTCTATGAGCAACAGGATGTGCTGACGCCTCTGATTACGGAACGCCGCTTGGCATACAACAAGTGCGTTGCATCTGGCAGTAGCTCGGATCATGCCAAGTTTAAAACCACCCGGCCCAAGACCCGAGCGGAAGTGCGTCGTGCCAAGACTAATTGGCTTGTGGGTGTTGCAGCTCTGACGGAAATCGGCAGACTAGCATGTCATGGTGCCACTGTTTGGTCGTCTATTCGATCGATCCAACGCAGGTTCAAAGGCTTATGCCCTATCACTATCCCCAACATCAAGGATGCCGATGGAAATTTATGAAGGTCGGTTGACGCCCAGTGTTCCCGCTGGGGTGGCCACTTTGACACTGTTCTCAACGTACAGAGTCAGTATGATCCAACTGTATTTTCCAGTCTGAAACAACGGCCTGTGGCTGATGAACTTGCCGAGCTTCGTACTGCTGTGGAATTTTCACGCGCTATCAGCCGCCTAGCTAACAACAAGGCACCTGGAGAGTCGGGTATCTTACCTGAAATGGTTAAACATGCTGGAGCGCAATTTCATCTAACCCTTCTCTGCCTTATTCACCAGATATTGCGTGAGAGTCAGGTTCCGCAGGCATGGAAAGATGCTGGGCTAGTGCCAATCCCGAAGAAAGGCGACCTATCGCTCTGTGATAACTGGCGTGGCATAGCATTGTTGGATGTCGTTGGTAAAGTTGTTGGTCGGCTATAAACCAGCTCATGAAAATTGGTCTTTTCTCGTTCTTTTGTGTTTCGTTTAGTGATATCCTGCGCTGTTCCCAGCCCACCTTCCAATGGTTTAATTGTTAGCAGTTCTACTTCTCCTAATGGTGTGACCGTCTTTGCATGCAACAAAGGCTATAAACTGACGGGAAGCAGTGTCACTGTGTGTTTGACGAATGGAACGTTATCAAACCCAACGCCAACATGTGCAAGTAAGCCTTCTGTAGAGTGAGAACACTGGATTAGTAGTATGTGAATAATTGTCGCCTTTAATATGAAGTGTTAGGTTCACGACTCGCACACTCGTACGCACTCGCACCCTCGAACTCACCTTTACAGGCGCGCACTCACTTTCACTCTCGTACTCACCTTTTCGGGCGCGCACTCACTTTCACTCTCGTACTCACCTTTACAGGCGCGAACTCACCTTTTCGGGCGCGCACTCACTTTCACTCTCGTACTCACCTTTTCAGGCGCGAACTTACCTTTACTCTCGCACTCACCTTTACAGGCGCGAACTCACCTTTTCGGGCGCGCACTCACATTCACTTGACGTACTCACCTTCACAGCCTCGTACTCACCCTTGTTGCTTTTCCTAATCTTTTCTTTCTTTGGCCTGGGTAGCTGGACTCGCGCTTTAGCACATTTATCTCCATAGCTACCCAGGCCCTAGATAAGCTCTTGTTGGAACATTTGCTCGCCCCTTCTACCCCTTCTAGCCTTGTCTAGCCTTGTCCTGCTTGCCTTGCCTGGTCTTTGTCTTGCTTGCCTTACCTTATCCTATACCGAACCTTTGAGATTCCTTGTCGTTGTCGACTTGCTCCGATCGTCTAATTGTGACTGTGCCGGTCCTAACAGAAGTAATGGCACATGGTCTCGGTTGGAGAGCCAATGATCAATTTATAGTAAAGAAAGGACCGATGAACTACAAAGTTCGCTATAACCGTTGGTCAGTGTCGTGCAATGTTACAACATGAGCCGATTGTCATGCAACTGGCAGTGTTATTTATAGCGTAGCTTGTAGTTCCTTGGTCACTTTTCAGTTCATTATGAATTGAAAAGATGTTCCGTCTCCAGGTCCAGTGTCGTTTGTTGATGTGCAGAACAAGCATTGAATTCTGAGCATAAGGATCATGTACTGAGCAATCACAAGGCAAACTATCTCGATTGCTGTTCTCTGACCCTAAGTCACTGTTCTTTGTATCTTTCAGGAGTCGTTTGTTCATTTTTGACACATCCAAGAAATGGTTCAGTCTCGCCTGGTCATAACAATTTCCAAGCAATTCGAAACTACACTTGTAATGAAGGTTTCAAAGTGGTGGGATTTGCCACAACTATATGTCTACTGCAAGGAGTTTGGTCTGCACCTCCGCCAACTTGCCAACGTAAGTGTCATGAAGTGCAAAGTAGCGGTGCGTATGAAAGCTACTTCGCATTGAAACTGTTAACAGTAGGCCACATCCCTCACCCTGCCATTCTTGCTTGATTTAGTTGTGAATGTATATTCTCAGCAGGTGTCAGAATTCAGCAAATTCAGAAGCTTTACTCAGAGCCTACTTTTTGGACAGGAAGACAATTTGAATATATGTAAGTGCATAGCTTTAATCTGAGTTGTGTGCATGCGTGCGCGTGTGTGTGCGTGCGTGTGTGTGTGTGTGTTTGTGTGTACGTGTACGTGTGCGTGTGCATTTGTGTGTACGTGTGTGTGTGTGTGTGTGTGTGTGTGTGAATTGTTTCTGCTTAACTCCTAACAGACATCACATGTCCAGCTGCTCCACCGTCGATAGCTAATGGTTACATCAGCACAGTGCCTTCTAGTTTTTTGGTCGGAGGTACAGCAAACATATCATGCCTTCCAGGATACCAGCGAACAGGGGCAGCAGTAATCACCTGTGACAAGGGCGGAGAATGGCCTTCTAGTAAATCTCTTCCAACATGCACGAGTAAGCTCTGTCATGTTTCAAAAGAAGTGATCTTTACGAACTGGTTTGAGTATGCCTAGGTTGTACTTAATCCATTGTCCTTGTTCATTTGCTTTTGCCTGTATTTCACCTGACGATAAGGCTTGAATGTATACCAGTGGATCTGAAACTGTCAAGATGTTCTGAAAAAGCCCGAAGTGTGTCCATTTATTTTCAGTATTATTTGCGATGGGTATAGCATAATTGTTTCACTTTTTGAGTATGACATTGCATCGAGAGAAAATGCTGATGGGATGCCCTGTTGATATTATGTATTTGATCAATTGTTCCTTGGTTCCAATTACTCAAACTGTTATCCATTTCACTCAGCCTCTTCTCTGAGGTTTGTCTGATATTTCCAAAACCTGTTGGCATCGTGTTCGAATCACCCCTATTCCAATTTTAGAGAGGAGAACAGATAGAAAATGTCGTATCGTTTCACTGACGGCCCTAAATTCCAGAACAGTAATGTGTGCTCAGATGTCACGAGACCAGAGAGGGGTTGGCCGTATAACAGTGTTTCTGTCGGTTTTTTATTTGTGTATTGCTTTCAGGAGTCACTTGTTCGCCTTTGATTCAACCATTGAATGGCCTAGTGTCACCTGGAGCTCACGATTTCGATGCAATTCGAACATACACTTGTAACCAAGGATACACATTGGTTGGTTCGCCTACAACTAAATGTGTTCTGGATGGAGTGTGGTCTGCACCTGAACCAACCTGCCAAAGTAAGTGTTATAACATTTGATGTTGGCGTGAATATTCAGATTCTTCCACCCCCCCCCCCCCCCCCCCATCGTCCCAAAGTGGAGTTTGATACTGTGGTTCATGTATTTCTAGAGTTGTTTGAGAGATTTACGCCAATGACAATGCCGTGCAATATTTGTGTGTACATCACATTCAGGAGTCACTTGTTTGCCTTTAACGCATCCAACAAATGGGCTCGTAACGCCGGGTGATAACAATGTCAATGCAATTAGAAACTACACATGTATCAAAGGGTTCACATTGGTTGGTTTTCCGTCAACTACATGTCTTTCGAACGGAGTTTGGTCCACACATCAACCAACCTGCCAGCGTAAGTGCCATGCACGTTAATGTCGGAATAGGGGATTGGAACATATATTAACAGTCAACAATGAACAATGTGCAGTGTTTCACATCCTCGTCGCATTCTAATTTAATACTGCGCTGTTCTCATAAATCCCAAGAAGTTTTATGATCGATCCTTGATGTTGACACCATCAACATAGCTACTTAAGTTGGCGATACAAATAGGAAAGCGACACTAACATTTACTGAGAGACAACATAGTTATCAACCATAGTAAGAGGGCAAACTTCAGGATTTGCACGGGGAACAAAATCATGTGGCTTGTGGGCCATTTTGAGGGCTTGGACCTGTTTCAAGGTTTCCTTCAGAAACTTTTCGAAGGCTTCCACAGTCAATCTGAACAACAAAACTAACATACCTGCAAAATCGGAGAGTTCGCCTAGCACACATACTGTGGTGATCAAGGTTCCGCATAACGTAATAGTACATTAGCGAAGAATGTAGTCGATCTACAGAATGTCTTACGTGGACTGCATGCGGATCTGTATTACGCCATACATAGCTTTGCAGTCACGTAGCTGCCCTTTGCAAATCTGAACGTGGCTGTGTACGACGAGGCCGAGAATAATGAATTTGTACCCCAATCCTTACAGAGCACCTCCGTTATCAGTCTCCTACCTATGTACTCTATGGAGAAAAGTTTCCGTATGTGGAGTGCAAATTCGCGAAATAAAGGGCTTCCCCGTCCGCTTATGGAAAATTCCTCAAATTACATTGTGCGGAACCTCTCTATTATCAGACATTTTTCGTCAACCACCACCCCATAACTGCGCTCTCCAGCTGGCCTTGACACGACAGAATGGCTGTTCAACACTCTATGTATTCAGCAGGAGCTCAAACCTAAATTGCAGCATCAAGACTGTTTTAGTAGGCTTAGGAGTGGATCTGTTAAATTTGCAGTATGCATAATCCCTATTGGGCTGAGTTAGTAAGAGCAGTCACAGTACTCAGTGCAAACAATCTCTGTTCGTTTTATCCTGGGTTCAGGAGGAAATTGTACGCCTTTGACGCATCCAATGAATGGGTCTGTGTCCTCGGGAACCGACAATTTCGAAGCAAATCGATCCTACACTTGTAACAGAGGATACACTTTGGTTGGTGTCGCTACAACTACATGTCTTCTCAATGGAGTTTGGTCTGCACCTCAACCGGCTTGCCAACGTAAGTGTCACACACCACTTAGCTTTTTTCTCTTAGAGGGTATTGGAGTTGTAGGTGTGAAACAGGACCGTTGGCCTTGGCACACCATGTGTCCTGCGTGCTGACTGTATGCCAACATCGTGTACTTACTTGTTGAATTGGCTGCCTGTACTCTATGTGTGCGTAGTATGGTGTTTATTATGAGTGGTATTATCTGCATTTTTAGGGGCGTTTCTGGGGGTGACGGGTGGGTCAAAAAAGAAACGCCTGTTAGACGTCTCTAATTAAATACATGTATTTACGGACGAAAGTGGCACTTTTAGCAGGGTCAACAGCATGTGAAAGGAGTTGTCAGTTCTTCATCCTGCTTGTGCTACATCTATATTCATTGCTTCCTTTGCGCCTATGGCTGGGCACAATGTTCCTAAAAAGTCTATGTCTTCACTTGAATGACATAATATGCCCCCAGGAAATCTCACCTATCAATTTCAGACATGGCAGCTGGTACAATTTGAATATGGAGTGGGAAGTGTGAGATGGGAATATTCTGAACGCGTTCAGGAACAATGTGGAGCTGGTGAACACCATGCTTCTGGATGTAAAGGGGACGGTTTCAAATAGGAAATTGTATAGACCCAAACCGATCACCAGCGTGGATTGTTCACTCGAAACTGTTTGTGGGAGGATAGTGGCATGTTGAAGTTTGCTCTGAGACCAGAAACGATTGACCTGAGCCACTCCTTTGTGTTGGCCCGTGGCCTCCAAGTTGCTGTCAAATGTTGGTGTCACAGAGGCGGCTCCAAACCGGAAATGTTTTGGAGTGCACGTCAAGTTCACTCTGGGTTCTGAAATTAGATAATTGTGATCGCTCCACGACGGCCAGTACAGAGCACCAATAAGCCTTGTATGTAAGCCTTGTATGTGCTTCAATTACTTTGGTATACGGTGCTTTATTGGCGAGAGGCGAGCCGTTGTTTACCTGTGAAGTTGATTTTTCGAAAGACGTAAAACTCAAGTCGCAGTGAGAAGCAACAAGTCATAAACTCACCTGCTTGGTGTGTCACTTCTGGTCATCGCGGAACCATGAAATTTTGGCTCGGGGTAAACACACATCATAGTCTCACTGTCACTAATGTTTTCTAATCAAAATACCAAGAGTGAATATTGAGCCCGTTCCTGTTTGCAACCTATTTCCTCTTTGAAACCGCCCCCTGTACCACAATTTGACATGTTCATAGTGTTGGTTGCACTAGAAGCCTGGACACGACTAGGAGATTGGTGTATTATTTTACTTTAGAATCAACTCGTAAAAACTCCAAGTCAATCTCCAATTGATACAAACCTCGTTTATTCAACATAATCATATCCTATCCAATAAAAACAGTTTATAAAAACAGTTTTGTAGGATCGGACCCAGTCCGCATAACCAGGAGAGCTAGCTCCCTTGGCTGCTGTTGGAATATGCAAGAATGGGCCTTCCAGATAAAGTCTAACAAGGAGAAGTGGCTATAGTGATGAAAAGAACACCGGTAACCATGGAGACAGACCACACTCTCATATACTTCCTCCGTTTTTAC